CCTTTTTTTTTAAACCATATCCAGTGGCTGATCCCTGTCCCTGGCGCCCCCAGGTGGTGGAAGACGGTTACGAGTTTTTTGCCAAACGGCAGCTGGTGACTCTGTTCTCGGCTCCCAACTACTGCGGGGAGTTCGACAACGCCGGCGGGATGATGAGCGTGGACGAGACCCTGATGTGTTCCTTCCAGGTATTTAGAAAAATAAAAAATAAACAGCCGTTCGACCTGAGGCTGTGCTCGGGGTTACAGCTCCTCATCCTGTGTTCTCAGATCCTGAAGCCGTCTGAGAAGAAAGCCAAGTATCAGTATGGAGGGATGAACTCCGGCCGGCCCGTCACTCCCCCCCGCACAGCCCAACCGCCAAAGAAACGATGAAGGCCGACGGCAACAAGACGGACGACTGTCGACGACCGTGTCCGGGTTTTTTGTTTTTTCCACAACACAAAATAAAAGCAACACTTGGCAGAGGAAAACAAACTGATCAAAGACGACCATTTTAAGACGCACCCAAACTAGTTTTTCCACTTAATCTCTCAGACTGCTGTCTCTTCATTTCTGCCTTCTTTTTTTCCCCCCCCTTTTGCACCCATGTAACATTTTTAAACGAGTGATTTAAATGAGGGAACAGGTGGTCATTCTGCTGCTTTGTTTTTTTTTTTTGGTCGGTTTTCCGGGCAGAACAGAATGAAAAGACAGCAAGTTTAGTTTACCACCCCCCCCCCCCCCCTCTCTCTCCCCCCAGCCTGTACAGACAACAGCTACTAATGGTGACCGCTGTGTTTTCAATAAATAATACAGGGAGTAAACCTGGCTGAACGTTCTGTGTGGTTCTTCTGTTCCTCAGTCTTGTGTGATAAACCAAACCAGAATCTGTTTCAATCGTCCATTTATTGACACTGTACAAAAAAATACGGACATGCATGTCGTTTTGTTTCCCTTTATCACAGTTCAGTAGAAATGATCAACATCTTCTGTTAGTGAATTGTACCCATTTAGAGACTAAACAATTTCTGCACAGTACTGCAAGTTGCTGTGGACAAAGATAGAAAAATATCTGCTGGCTTACGATGAATTGCTTGGACTTCCCATGTTTTAGTTGAGAGGAACAGGTTCAGACAGGCAATGACACAACAGCAGCTCAAAGAAACACCACTCACTCTATATCTAAAAGAGTACTAAAGTTAAGAACTACAGTTCTTCTATTTAGGATCTTCAGAATTGTGTCCATGCCCTACCATCTGAAGCAAGGTTCAGATAATTTCAGCCTCCAGTTCAGATGAAAAAGCAGCTTCTATCCAGCCTATTTCTCACAGATCAGAGTAAGTCTTAAACTTTGAAAGCTAAAAATCAAACTTAATATTTGTCCCCCTCCTGAGAGTCTCAGCTGTTGAGTCCCTTTGAAAAAGGGAGCTGCCACCATTTTTTTCTCCATTTGTTAATGTTACAAAACCACAGCAAGGCAATACCAAATGAAAATACTCTATTAGATTACTGACTCAGTAACATGTTAGCTTGTGGGTAAAAAAAAAAAAAACGGAACTACAAGTATCAAATATCAGACGCATTGCTTTAACGTGACCGTGAAAAAAATGTAGTCACACTTACACAACCAGTCAAGCTGAAACCCGCCGTAGTGGGGGCGAACCAGGACGCCCTCAAACGGGCAGAGAGTGGGATGGCGTGCCGTCCTGCCGCCACTGCAGCACCAGCTGAACGGGCTTTTCCTGCTTTTCTTTTAGAAGCTCTGGCCTGGCTGACCAGTAGGTGGCAGCAGCAGCCAGGAGGACCCAACCCCCCCTAAGGATTCAAATCCCTGAAAAGGGATATAATGTAATACAAAACCTTTTTTGTTTTGTTCCTCTGTAACTGAGAATGTTATCCCATTTTTTATCAAAAGAGAAATAATAGAAAAATACCTAGAAGCAAACCAATAAGTGGATCTCAGTCAATTTGTTGCAAAAGCAAATATTTTGACACGTTGCCTTAATTGTAACCTAGAAAAAACAAGTCCATTGTGTTCCCTTTACCTACATGACAACTAAATAATGCCCTAAAAATCACATCTAACAAACGGAAACATAAATAATAAAAAAGAATGTTTTAAAAACGTAGAAATGGAATCTTTAAATATGTGTTTTTAGTAACAGCGTCCCACTCGTTGCTGCTCTCAGCATCTGGTGCGTTGAAGTTGGGAAGGGGCGAGAGACAAAAATATAAAAAAAATTCAGACGGCAGTTTCATGCCTAAGCGCGGGCTATACAAGTGCTCGCAGGGCGAAGGACAGGGCGGCGCCGATGGACAAACCCAACGCCAGGAAGAAGGTCATCAGGGCCCCGGCGGTCTCCGCATCCTTCGGCTCCACCATCCTGCAAACAGACCCCAGGTTTGGAGAATCAACTACACGTGAATCATTAACAATAAAACTATAGTCGCAAAAAGTTAGACATCTGGCTAGCGGGAGAAATTTCAGGATGAACCTAAAATGCACTATAACCTTTAGAGGTGAAGTCAACGTGACCTCTGAACTTATGAGGTCTGTTCAATGGAGGACCTTTTGCACAACTTACTGTTCTCCATGATGAGCTGAACAAATATCTCACTTGAAAAATAATAATTCTAAAAATTAGATAGATAGATGTTTGGAATATCTATAAAGGAAAGTCGAAAGAAGAGGAGTGGCTTCGAGTAAAAGTCAATGTTGGATTGCACGTTGGATTGCAGGAAAATAAAACAAAATGACACTAAGGGATCCTGAACGCATCACGTTCACCGTTTCCGGGAGGGGAATCGCTGGAAATGACAACTTCTAACTGACGTCGTCTTACTATACAATTCCGTCAATAATTACAAGCTCCCACCTTGGGTGCCGTTTAACTTAGTTTGGCCTGGAGGTGTAAAGTCCTAGTCGGCTATTCGACTTCCAGGTCGACCAAAACTCCGTCGACCAATTTGCCTGTTAATTTGAATCCAGTCTGTGGCTAATCTAATGTCACCAAGAGGAAGGTACCAAGTGCTAATGGGGGTGTTCAGAGAAGCCCCGGTTAACAGGTTACAGCTTCTCTTCAGAGAACACCCCCTTGTTTGAACTACTTTGGTTTAGCCCAACACGCTAGAGGCGGGTACGGTCGAAGCACGTTCACGCAAAGGTTTGCTAAATATTTATCGTTTTTATTTTGAGCGTTTAGTTTACAGTGAGTTTCTCCTCTGCTAACCATGTCAAAGACATCGGCCATATGGCAGAATTTGACAAAAATAAATGGCAGGGGAAAAAAGTTGAATTAGCAAACAACTGTTAAAACAGCTTTGCGTAACGAGTCCGTGCCTGCCGTTTGAAGCTAATGTCTTAAGCCTGCGCTTTATTTTCCCAGGAATGCAAGTTTTATTGTTACCTAAACCAGTTAGTCGAAATTTCAGGGTTTCAGTCGACCAAGAAATTCCCTAGCCCTAGTTTGCCTCCTTGCTGTGGTGAGTTGAATATTACTGTCAGTACAGGCTTTAATGTCATTGAACACAACACAATTAACTGCCACATTTTCCGAGACGCTTATCAGTTGGACGGTCCAAAATGTCCTGCAGGGATATGTACTTGCATTTTCCAGATTTTTGGGGGGATGTAATACTCAAAGTTTTGTTTTGTTTTTTAAACTCTGGACTCACTGTGGCGCGTAGGACATGGAGAGGCAGACGAAGTAGCCGCTGGACACGGAGAAGAGGACCATGATGGCGGTGAAAGCCGCGTCGTGCGCGAAGAGGACGGGCAGGTGGTCGCGGGGCTGGACGTTGCACAGCATCAGCAGCGGGACGAACAGCACCCTGGAGACCACCAGCAGCGGGAAGAGGTGGGACTCTTTACGCGGCTGTGGGGGGGGGGGGGGGGGGGAGGTTTAGGGAAAACTCAAGTAGGAAGTATGCCCAGTAAGCGGAGTGGGAGGGACAACAAAAACCATCAGACTGATCGTTTCATGGCCACCGGGCCGTTTTTGTTGCGAGCCAAGGCCAGACTGCAGGATTTCCTGTAAGAGCTGCTGTCGGGTGGGCGGGTGCCCAGAGCCCAGCGATCGGGAGCCAAAAATCATTCTAATCCACACCATCAAACTTAGCTGGAGGAGGCGCAAGGACTCCCACACACACAGCCAGAGCCTTTAGACTTCTATTTAACAGATTACTCTTCCCTTTTTCTAAACTTCCTGTCATGTGACATCTTTATTTTTCCTTTTTTGGGGGGGTGAAGTCTGTACATAAATGCCATTCAGATGCTCCTAAGGGGGGGGGGGGCGCTCTCCAGGGAGCAACGGTTGGCTGTAACTGGACGCTCACCCAGCGGATCACCGTGGTGACGGTCCGGCCGAGCCAGTCGCTGACGTTGAAGATGAGGAAGCAGCACACGGAGATGAAGAAGCGCTCTGAGGAGGAGGAGAGGGAGAGTTAAGACTCGAGAACAGCGGCGCCCCTGGAGACGACGGCTCGGGATGGGCCGGGTTTTGGATCGGCCATACCCCATTTTCCCGGGAACGCGGTCCGGACGTCGGCGGTGACGGCGGGGAACACCGACAGCGTCACGGTGAACACGAAGGTCACGCAGAACGCCATCACCCAGATCTGAGGGGGCAGAGAGCCGGACGCTGTCAACCGGGCCGGGGGGGGGGGGCGCCGGGCGTGGCCACTGTGTCGAGGTTAGGGAGCGGAGGGACTGACCTTCTTGAAGACCTCGGTGACGGAGGCTTTGGCCGGCTCCTTCTCCGCCCGCTCCGGCGACAGGAAGGCCTCCCTGACCTCGGCGTCGGGCGCCGCCGCCGTCTCGGCGCCACAGCCCAGCGACCCGTTGGCGTGACCGTTGAGCTTGCCGTTTTCCGTCTTGTTTCTCTCTGAAACAGCGATACGGCACTTTTTCAACACACAGCGGAAGACACACAGCACACAACACAACCTGCCCAGAGCTTTAAAAACCTTTTAAAACCTTAATTTAGTGTCCATTCCATGATCCCCATAACCCCCCCCCCCACACACACACACTCTTTACAGTTTGTTAAGACTTGGAGGAGTTCAACTGACACAAGGTTTTATGATGACAGAATCTATTCGTTGGCTTTTTATTGGTCGGAGATGGATTTATGCCCCCCCAACATAAATGCTGCTGAGCAAATCTGACCATTTTTTTCTTTTTAAGATTTTTTGGGCTCTAGTGGCCTTTAATGACAGTAGCTTGACAGGAAAGGGGGCAGAGATAGAGAGGGGGAGACCTGCGGGAAAGGGCCATGGGCTGGATTCAAACCCAGGCCACCCGCTTGCGAGCAGAGGCTCTGCACATGGGCCGCCCGCTCTAGCCATTAGGCTACGGCTGCGGCCCAAAATCTGACCATTTTACCAGAAATGAAAGCACTGATTTTAAAATTTGCCTCCAAAGTGTGTTTTGAAACGTATAAAAGGCCATGTTTGTACATTACTTTACTGGAGAAACTGGTAAACAACATGGAAGTGTTCATTTAGCTGTAATGTGACCCCGAGTCTTGGAGTTGAAACAAAGGTATTTCTTGAAAGAGCTGTGAAGTAGAATTGAAGTTTTTCTACTGAGAGAAAGGCCACATGGCCTTTGAGGAATAGAAGTGGGTCAGATTGATACAGTCACATTTGGTTAAATGTCATTAAATTATCGTGTTTGTTCATGCTTTCATTGGTTATTTAAGATCAGGTGACAGCTGTCAAAAGCAGCGTTTGTGTTTCCCGTGTTTCGCTTGTTTGGGCGTTACTATGGAGACCGTTCCCGCTCGGATTGTCCGACCATGGTCAGGGAGCAGAGGGCGACTCGGCAGTGGAAGCAGTCTCCGGTTCTTGGTTTCAAACAGAACTTTTATTTCTATTTGGGGAATCCAAAGTTTAAATTGTAAAGTTCAAATTCACTTTGCTCGAGCCGGATTACGGCGCCCCCCTATTTGTGCCCGAGCGCCCACATACCAGCCTCACGGGTCCAGCGCCCCCCCAAAATGTTTAACGCCCCCTGTGAGAAACCATGATCTGGTGATTTATTTGAATGGATGGAGCTCAGGGCCACAGCATAGGAGAGGGAAAAAAAGTGTGTGTGTGTGTGTGTGTGTGTGCGTGTGCAGGGGGGGGGGGGGTCAGTTTGGTGAGTCAAACAGACCCAGCCTTTGTCAGGGATCTGCCTTTTAACCAGATAAACTGATTTAGTGAGATAATGTTGCCCTGAACTGATTAGACTCGGCTGTGAAGCATTTATTTGTGGATGTTGGGCTTCCGTCAGCACAGTGATTGGCAGTTTTAATTCTGCTAATGTTAAAAGAGCGCGGGGAGGCGAGACCGGAGAGAGAGGACAGAGCCTTGCCTTTCAGCAGCTGCTGGTCACCAGGGCCTTCTTCATACTTGCCTCTCTTCAGGTAATGCTGCGCAAACTCCTGCACGGGAGCAAATGGAAAAAAATGTATTTTAAAAAAAAAACTCATCTGAAAATGATTCTGGCTTCATTGTGTTTGGATTAAGATAGATTTAAATGGGATTACAAGCAAGGATGGGCAATCTTTTATAAAAAAATGTTTTAACCCAGACAAAGGTGATATATCCAAATCTAGGTCAGTTCTGCCAAAAATAAATACATTGAAAAAACATTTATTTTTATTAAAAAAATAAAATAAATAAATAAATAAAGGAAGTTGTGGGTAAATGTTCACTGACCAAGCGTGGCAGCAGCAGGTAGCTAAAGAGCGTGATTAGCGCCCCCACACACGGCGTGATGAAGTAACCCAACGCCGCGCTCTCAGCGTCGGTGTCACCTTCAAGAAAAAAAAACAACAGAAAACACAAACTTGTTAGAGTTCCGGAGAAAAAGGAGGAGGAGTCTTATCAGCAGAACTCAGCTGGTGGTGGTCTTTGTTGTATGTGTGTGTGTGTGTGTGTGCTTGGCGGCTGGCTCACTGGCTAAGGCTAGGAGCATGGCGATGGCGGCGAAGGTCCCCGCCAGGGCCTGGCCGCTCATGAAGACAGCGCTGTACTTCTGGGGCAGCAGGCCCACCAGGCCGAACAGGCTGCCCTGCAGCACGGCCCCGAACGCTGCAGCGGGGGGGGGACACGTCAGACCTCGGGGGGGGGGGGGGGGCAGCGTCCCCTCTCGGCCTCCAGCGCCCACTTACAGTTGATGAACCAGATGGTCGCCATGGTGATGGAGAAGAAGCGGTCTTCGTCCATGGGCACCTTGACCAGCACGGCGGTGAGGATGAAGAGCAGCAGGATGAAGACCAGGCTCCCAGCGATCCGCATCGCCTCCGATATCCTATGAAGAAAAATAGCACAAAAAAAAATGATATCATGATACATTTGTTTAAATACCTCAATAATGATATCACAGACGATGTCACTATTTTGGCTTTTTTCCCCCCCTTCTTCAAATTGGATTCGGCCAAACAAATATGCAACCCCACACACTCATTTTACTTTCCTCCAAAACAAGAAAAATATAAATCCAATATAAACATACACAAAAAGTAAATAAATAAATAAAGACACATTTCTTGCGTGTCAAAGCAAATCCAAAATGAATAATGTAAACTAATTTGGTCCAACAAAAAAAGTCTAAAAAAATCAGCAACCAAGTTTCAATAAAAATACTTAAACCAATTGTCATCTTCAAGTATGTAAACAAACAGTCCGTTAAATATTTCAACCACACCTTGTTAACGATAGGAAGAGCATCCAGTTAAATGGGGGGAAAATCACCTTTCCCTCAGCTTTGCGTTAAAATATTTTCAATTATTAGCAATTCTTTCATTGGTCGCTCTTTTTGTGCAAAAGGCCACTGAAAATAAAATTGGATACGAAAACTAAAGAATTTGGGAAATAACCTCCATGTAAGGTGTGCTGCAACTCTACAAGATGATAAACATTCAGACAAACATACTGAAAAAATTATAATATAATTTAAAAAAACAATAATATGCTATAACATAACATATTTAACCAATATGGTAGGGGAAATAAATAAATAAATACTGCTCCAACATGGAGCGAGCTTCGTTGACAGACACCCACCTCTGGTACATGAAGGAGTTGAGGAGGGTGAAAAGCAGCAGAGGCAGTTGGGACAGCAGGGTCATCCAGTTGTTGAAGTGGTACTCCTTCTGCACCGTTGCCGTGCCGTTGACCAATTCCGTTGTGTTGAGGCGGCCTTGGAAGTACTGAAGGGGGGGGGGGGCCGGGGGGGAAGGGGGGGGAGGTTAGACACAGACTTGGACTCCATTCATCCCCCTGGGGGCGACCCCTTCAGGGAAAACTCAGGTTGCAGCAACTTAACACAGGACAGCGGCAACATTGGGTCCTCGTTTTGAAGTCAGGATTTTGGAGTTGAGCAATTCCAGCACGTGATGAACAACTTTAGTGACAAATCTGCCCCCCGCGAGGGAATTAACTACTTCAGCTCATGGCCTGAATTCTATTGGTTTTAGTTGTTTGTTTTTTTACCAGAGAAGCCGTCATAAAGAAATTCCATGGCAGCAGCGTTCCCTGGCCCAGGATGAAGAAAATGATTCCCACCAAACAGCCTCTGCAGGTGGGGAGCAGAGAGGAGGAAAGGGGGCGAAAAAAAGGAAAAAAAGAGAAAAGTGAAAGGTTTAATCAGAATACTTTCTTGAACACCAGGGAGGGATTCTCGTGTTACAGCTGAACCCATTCAAAGAAAACAGAAAAATAAAACCAAGCATATACAAATAGAGAAATATTTAACATAGCAAGTGGTGTTAATTCCAAGTAGAACTTAATAAGTCAAACATATATATCAAAATGAACTGATAATATAGAGCTGCTGCTAATTTGAATTATCGTCCAGATATTGATTATTCCACCGAAAATTTTAAAGGTTTGCTCATATACCTCCACAGGAGGTGTCAAACAATGAGAGGAGATGCATGATTGCAACTAGTAGGAGCCCTGTGGTGCATTTTTGGTGGAATCAGTCTTTCGCCGAATTGCGAAAAACAACGTTTTCTGGAAATCGGGAGCTTTGAAACGCTCACGTCTGTGTGTCACTTTTGGGAAAAGGGCTGAAACTCGGAAGCAGTTCCCGTGTTTTGTACTCACCGGTCCTGAGGGGAGGCCGTTTGTCGTTTCATCCTTCGTTAAATAAATAAATAAATCGTGCGAAGCTGGAAAGAGAACAGGAGAGGGGACCGGGTGAGACAGTACTTTGGGGATGCAGCAGGAACCAGTTAGCCGACAGCGTCCCGTTAGATGACCCAAATCAGTGGAATTTCAATTATTTTCCCCCCCTAATTTAGGTTTTGGCGCAACCTCCCCCTTGTCCACGCCCCTTGAGGCTTGAACCGAATCCAACGTGTACATTAGCCAAGGAATGGAGAGGGGGCAGCTCTTTTTGCCATCTAGTCACATGACACAGCATCACCCCCCATGCAGTCCACTTCTGCCGCCTTCCTTACAGACGGCAGAAACCCTCGAGTCACGTCATGGAGCTTAACCAAACAGGCGCGTGCATTATTTGCCTATCTCAGACATCCACAAAATGTGATTAGAGTCGGGTAAACATCTTTGAGTTCACGCAACCATGAACCCCACCCCCACCCCTCCCGGAAAAAAACCTTAGAGTGTGTACACTGGCTAATGCAGCTCGCCATGGCCAGGCCCCGGCAGACCGTGCGCGACAAAAAGTCACCGCGTCCCGACTTCAAAGCCCCGTTTAGGGCAGCTGAGCAGAACTAATTGGAACACGCTGGTGAATCATGTACAAAGCCAAAAGGATGTGGACATAAAGGTCATAAAAACAGCTCCGGCTCACATGGCCAGAGGCCTCAGGTACAATCCGATTACTAGAGGACGCCTGCTACCTCAAAGTTCTGTAAATATAGGGCCGTTCCCGTTAACCCTATAGGTGAACAGGTTCTCACAAAAGGACTTCTCTTGTGCGGAGGGGCCGGTTTAGGAGTTTCTGCCCGGCTGAGCAACGACAACAAGCGTAAGGCTCAGGGTTGTCGTGTGTGTGGGTGCTGCTGGCCGAGACGTCGCAAAAATCCTGCGTGTGGGCGCATGCCGTGAATGCAAACAGTTTTAAAGCGAGAACCGAAACGCTCTCCCAGCGGGAAGAATGTAAAAAAACACCCTTTGACTCAAACTCGGAGCTTCAAGAATCCACACAAGGTTACCTAAAGCAAACCTAGGTTTAAGGATTTAGGACTGAACGGTCCGGCCCTTAGTCTTATTTATGAACTGACCCTCACCATCCCCTCATTCAGCTACAAAAACAGAGCGCAGACTGACTGAGAGGCCTCTTTATGCGAGGGGAGGCACAGCTCCCGCTCTTACGAGACAAAAATACAAAAACAGACTGAAAGTGTAAGGACGATCCCTCCAGAGGTAAACACATTGTACCGTATAGGTTCTGTCGGGCTGTCTAATGAATGTGAGAACTGCCACTAGTTGTTGACTAAAGTCTTCCCAGAAAGGCCTTGAAGAAGGTGATAAAAGGAGGGGGACAACCAACTAAAAACTCTCTTGGCGACACCTAAACACAACTTGAGCAAGTTGAAGCACAGCTAATCTCTCTGGGAAAACAGCTCTTTACCAAGCATGAGACATGCAAACAACGCTGACAAGTCTGAAAGGGATTGCGGTTGGCAAACAAAAGTAAATCAAGTGGAAAAAAACAAGTGTAGTGATGACAATTTAGAAATGATATTAAAAAAACAGAAAACAGGGCACTTGTAGCTTTTACTGAGTGGCATTCAAGGGGTTGGAAGTGAGAATTACTCACCCAGAAATGGAAAAAAAAATGGGCCTGAGACTGCTCTAACCCACACACACTTTGTCCTTTTTGCCCTCTGCACGTCCTGCTTGTTTGCCACGAGGGCAACTCTCATACGCAAAGATCAGATGACTAAATCAGCAGAGGACATTCCAGCTTCTCACCCTCCAACTCTTGAAAGAATTCCATATGTGATTCCACATATCTTAAGCACCTTTTCCATTCTGAGGACACAGTCTGCTATATCCTGGGGGTCCTTTTAATAAATCTTTTTTTTCAAGCCAAGGGTTTGTTTTACACATACACACACATATATATATATATACATATAAGTTTTTTCCACAGGGGTTTGTAATGGTCAATCAATCTTCAACTGTTATGGAGGAGGAACTTTTTTTTTTAATTGTGGGGTTTTCCACGCGACTGCTAGAGGATTATTTTCTCCCCAGTATCCTTTTCGTTCATAACACCTGGGCACCTCAGACTCCTGGCGAACTGAACCAATTTCCATCTTCGGCACGTCTTTTTTTTTCTTCCTCCCACGCTTCTTCCTCAGTTTGTTTTGTAGGTGCCCTCCCCATAATTTTTGAGGAAATGCCGGTGTCAGTGGGAAAGCTTCACTTCAGGGTGGCTTACTCATCAACGATGCTCGGAAGCGACGCAAATTAATTTGCCTGTTCAGTTTCTCGTAGCGGTTTAAAGATATGCCTGTTTGTTTTAATGGAAAAACGCGACTTTTTCCACAAAGATAGTTTACAGCGAATGGGTCATGTACCAGTTTAATCACAATACAAATTATAATCTATTAGTAAATGCTGAACGTTAAAAACGGCACAATGTGCCAGAGCCCGACAGTAAATACACACGTGTATTAAACGTGACTAAAAAATGTGTGTGTTTCTTTAAGAGACTCGTCATGGCTTCGACATGCTATACATGCTCCTATTAACACCATGTAATAGTACACATTTTGGACGGTTGCTGAATAAACCGTACCGACTCAAGACCTTCGTCCAGTGTCCAACCTCATTCCGTGTATCCTTCACATTAACGTATCTTTAGTTTACTACAGACACACCGATTTAGAACATAGAACTAGTACCGAGCATCAACTGTAAATGATGGCCGGTCATAAAGTAAAATTCAGCCTCTGAATACACGCGCTTTCGACTGAGAGGAAGCAGACCGCCATCACCAAACCCACAAAATGGCCATAAACTTTTAAGAACACGCACTTGTTTCGGGGGGGGGGGGGGGGTCGCATAACGCCAGTACATTAAAATACGTTTAACGTGTTTTACGCCCAGTCTAACGCGGCGTGTCTGTGAGGGGAGTGGGGGGGGGAAACTAACCGTCAAATCGCTGAGTCGACGGTAAATAGAGAAAGAAAACATTCTAAGAACGATTAACACGGTATTCAAGCGTGGAACCCGGCTTGGCCACACTGACGCAGTCCTGTCACAGCAGCACGCTAGCTAACGTGATGCTTGACCTGTGGGAGGTAGACTCACCTTTAGAATAACATCATTGATTTTTTCTTCATCATGTTGTTTCCACCGTAGAGTCGCGATGCTTTATGGCCCAAATCATTGATGCTTCAGAGGCAGAAGAAGCGCTCTTTTAGCGGCTCTGTCGTCCCTCCACGTGGCGGGGTGTTACAGTGGCTCAAAAATGCAGCCTGGCAGGCTTAACACCCACCTGGTACTGCTCTGTCGAAATATGACTGCAGACAGAATAGAACCACCCCGCGGACGCGCGCATTTTTGGTAGATTCCACATCCCCGGCTTCATCATAAGACTCCACCTGCTTATGTTGGAGTGGCGCCGTACGTTTAAATCTCCCTCAAAACTACGTTGAATTCAAATACCGGCTACGGCTAGTTTAAAACAACGACAACATACAAGAAATGTACAAGCCCGTGACATGAATTGTCGGGAGGTAATATCATACATTTTGTTAAAGATATTTTTAACTTTTCACTCTATTTTTTGACCAGGGGTGTTTGTGAAAGGGTCTAAAATGCCGTTTTACCGTTTGCAATTACTATAAATCAAATAAAAATATGTTTTAACTGCTTCCTGGTGCAGTGTTCCATAGACATATTCCATATATGACCATGCAGTGTCCATTGTTGGGTCTGGGGGCTTCAGTTGGAACGGAAATGGTCGCGTACAATCACAATTCGACAGTGAGGCGGGAATTTTAAAGGCACGCGCGGGAGCAAATAAACGAATGCCTGCAACCTCAATTCCGCCCATTTATTTGAACAATTTAATGGTATAATCTATAAAATGGCGCTTTTATTATGTTTTGTGGTGGAACTACGTCAGGAAAACACAGAACGTAAATAAGCGTTGTTAAGTAATTGGCCTTTTTATAATTTCACTACATGTGCTTATTTAAACATCGGTCATTTAATCTTAAAAACACAGTGAACCTAAATTTTCCCTTGATTACTGCTGATGACTTTTCCATTAATTAAATGATTTGAAGTCAACATTGGAGTAATTGAGTACAATTATACTTGTAATTAATACAACATTTCAATATATTCTGGGCGAATAAGGTTTGTATAGAAAGTCTTCATAAAGTTAGCTAACTATTTACAAAACGTTGTGCGCCCAACGTGGGGCTCGAACCCACGACCCTGAGATTAAGAGTCTCATGCTCTACCGACTGAGCTAGCCGGGCTACATGTACCAGTCTGCGTCACCTGATGATGGTTTTGACGGAACCCACACATTTTGAGGCAGCTCCCTCTTGAGGACCTCAGGTAGGCTCTTACTGTGTGGGTTTACTTTCTATTGCATTTTGCCATATACCTTTCTCCTTTTTCTTGATATCTATCTTCCTTTGTGCTTTTGTAAGTATGCAGGATCCTCATGTTGACTGTTTGCATTCCAAAGATTTCCCCGCAGGGGAATTTATTCTTTCATGAAAAAGACTGGTTTGTCTTTCAGTCAAACGACAACTTATATATTTCTTCAGACGCTGATGTTTTGCTGCCTCCTCACGAATAAGAGCCAGAGAATTGGGACAGATTTTCTGTTCCATTTCCTCTGGGATCACATAACATAAGGAAAAAGCGAGAAGAACAAATATATATAGAACAAATTTATTCCTAAATGCCAGTCAGCATGATGCAATCCATCTAAATACGGAGCCTCAGAAAAAAAAGGAAAAAAAGACAGCAAGTGAGGTGAGTGTTCCAGCAAAGGCTTTGTTGGAATGAAACTTGTCATGTTGCCCCCTCTGCTGGTGTCAACGTTGTTGTAGACACTTGATTTTTGATAGCTATGTGTCTTCTGTTTCTCCCACAAACAACCTTCACACAAAGCTTTATTGATACTGCAAAATGCCCTGTGTTAGCTTTTTTTAAAATAAACTCTTTTCAGAATCTGTGATAAAAAAATAACATTACACCGTTTTTTCCCTCATAAGAGATTACAGGAATTCTAAACTTTAGAAAGTGCTCTGCCCCCTTTTTTTTTTAAGTAACTGGCTATGCTGTACAATGAAACACTTAATGGTGACACATATCAAATTTGAACATTGGTTATATTATATTTATGATTTGGTTATATTTATGATTATGTTTAACCAGAAAAGAGTCTTTTTGTCAACATGACACATGCATCCTGAAGACCAGAGTTTTGTGCATCATGCCTTATACAGTATGCTCTCCATCCATCCATTTTCTGAAGCACTTATTCCCAAAAGGGGTCACAGAAAAATGTACAAAGGTCCAGGTTCCCCCTTGAACTTGAACCCAGAACCCTCTTGCTTCACCACCGTGCCGCCCACAGTACGTTTTGTTTCTTATAAACAAGAACTTTGAGTTTTTCCTCTGTTTATGGCTGAATTTTGTCCCGCAGTGTCCGTTGGCGGGAGGAAACTTGGCCTAACCAAAGAAGCATCCCCCTCACGCAGCCGAACCTGACCCTGAAATTGCAAGCAGAGCATGGTGGCATGTCCTAGTTAAACGTGAGCAAAAGGGGTTGAAGGTACGCTTCCTGTTTTTCTCTGTCATCACACTCACAGTCCGATGGTGCACCCGAGGCCAGTTCCGTTTAGCTAAAAAAGAAAAGTCAGGCAGGCCGACTGCAGCCATTCTGTTAATGGGCAAGTCTTTAGCAGATAATCTGCTTTGCTTAGTAATAAAGTGAAAACTTTCTTTTTTATATCCTCCCAAAATTGGTATTTTGTCAATGCCGGTTCAATCTCTCTGAAAGTTCTTATTAAGCTAAGAGTATATCTGGAAGAGGACAAAGTCAAATAATTAAGTAGGCGTGCCTCATCTTGCATAAATGTCAATAAATGTGAAACATCAGTTATTTTTTGTCCGCACAAAAAGTTTCCAAGAGGATGTTCACAAAGTATGAGTTCACAGACCGAAACCTCATTTATTGTCTTTTTTTTAAATCTTATTTTACCAGAATCTGTCGTTTGACTCTCGTGTAAAAAAGGTTTCTAGAACTTCCTTCTTTTGCTTTCGAAATGTTGCTGGAATGAGCAAACCTTGTCTCAGAATGATACAGAACAACTAATTTTCCTATTTATCCCTTTAAGATTTAAACACATTTGGTGCACACAAGGCAGCTGCATCCAAAAATCCCTGAAAAGCCTCCAGCTGATCTGAAATGCTACAGCTAGAGTTCTGATAAAACCTAGAGGGAGAGGTTTTATTTACCCAATTTGAACTTTTCTTCACAAGCTATCTGTTAAATTCCCCACGTCATGCACAACTCTATCTGAAAGGCCTCGTAACCCGATATTTTCCCGACAGAGGACTTTGCTCTCGGACTACATGTCTACTTCTACTTGTGGTTACTAGAGTTTCTAAAAGTAGAAAGGAACGCACAGCTTTCAGTTATCAGGCCTCTCTCTGTGGAACCAGCTGCCAGTAGGGAAACAGACACTGTTAGTTTTCTTATGTAGGGTTTTTTTTTTCAATAGGTTCTGCATGGATTGGACCAAATCTGGAAATAACTGAATTGGAATTAGTTGGATTACGATTTGAAAACCATTTGATTCTAATCGGCTCGGACTGGATTGAATTGTGTATTTGGGGTACCTACAGATAATTTGTTGGGATTTAGGGCTTTCCAGATAAATTAATTAATTGAGGCAACTGTGCTAACCACCCCACTATCATGCCACCCTTAGATGATGGATACCTATCAAAAACATTGAATCTCTTCTCCTTATTTTATCCAGTTAGTCTCTACTTTAGCTGTAGTTGTTGAGATCCCAAAGCTATTTGGAATTGAATATGCTGAAAAAGCCTTGTTGACACACTTAATTGAAAATAAAACGAAGACACTTCCAGCACTGCATTTGTTTTTCCTACAAAAAGATTATCATCTGAGATAACCCCATTCCTATCCATTTGTAACATAAACCCTGTCTGGTTTAGTTCATTCAAAAGTGAGGCAGTACTATTTTAAAATAGTAATTTAAGTTTTTCCACTTGACCTAGAGTGACCTTAATTCATCTTCATTGAATCATTCAAATAGGCTTTGCAAATTCATAGATTTTTATTTGAAAAAAAATCTAGTTTTCCTCTCTTTTTCTGAGTAAATGCATTAATGTAGTTCAGTTTTTGCACAATGTTTACCTTTAAAAGCCTTTGCGAGTTATATTTCCAAACAGAACATGACTCATAATGAAAACTGGTATGAGTATGATCTGATCTTGGTTGATGAATTTGTGAGTCTCGACCTTAAGAAGTGCTCATTTTTGTCCCGAGGGGCCCTCCCATTGTTGCCCTCATCACAGCCTCCCTTTGCATCTCCTATATGGTGCCTAAATCTCAGCGGAATACAAAAGGTAGGTCTACTTTTCCCCTTCATTCCTTCTGATGAGACTGCTGCAACAAGCTCATTGCAAAATACCTCCTCCGCATGAGGGGCAGAGTTACTGTGAAATTGAAATTAAGTCTTGAACAATAATTTTAAAAAAGATACTTGTCTATTGATAATACTCTGATGGGAATTTCCAACCTTAAAATTGTGTTATTTTCCATGTAGAATGCCCAAAGAGCATCTGATTGCAAAAAATACTATCTTAACCTTCTGTTACTTCTGTCATATTTGAAATTTTGACTACGGTAACTTTAATATGTTCGGTATCGCCACCAACTACATGGTCTTTTGTAGCAACTGCTAATAGCTAAGCTAATATTTTGAAATGCAACCGGTTTCCTGCTCTTTAATGTAATTAAATACCTTAAAAGAAATTTCAACGTAGTATTTGATTTTTATATTATATCTTATTGTTTTAGCTAATGTCATTTTTATGTCTATGAGGCCCTGAGATGGGTCAGTGATGTGCAGCGACATTGGTTTTCATGCATTCTTTGTTTACAGAAAACAGTCAAAATTGTGGCATTTTGCAGTATGCATTCAATAAACAAGAAAGTCAACGGAAACTAGTCGTCCAAGATGAAAATTGTAAGTTTCTGTTGAGCTAAATGTGAAATCGATAAGGGTATTTTCATTGTTTTTGATAGGATCAGATAAATGTGCTTCGGTTTTTGGGCAGCTTTTGCGTTTTTGACTCTTTCAAGTAACTGAGACAATATGTCTATTTGAAATTAACACATTTCTTCAATGCTGATAATATAAATTCTCCATTTCTTAATCCCAGAGACATTGTTTAAATTACAGCTTTTGTGATGTAAAAAGTAACATTCTTGGCTTTTGATACATCCTTATGACATGTCTCAGCAGTCTATACTCACAAAACACTTATAAAACTTTAGTTTGTATACCTACATATGG